AGAGGTGACAGACCTTTGCTTTCCTCTGATCCTCCCAGCAGTCAGTCCCAATCACTTCCCTCCAGCCCTGGGAGAGCCCAAACCCCGGAAATCAGAAAAGAAACCACCTGAGATTACAAAGATAAGGTCATTTATTCACGTTATATTACTGGATTTTAAAGACAAAATTACAGTTGTTTTGAACACCAAGGTCAGACACACACCCCCCCCCCCCCGCCCACTTACAATGGTAAATCCGTACATTTGCATACATGGGAAATCAAAATACACAACAGGTCTCGAGGACAGGAAAGCTGCCGTCCCGGCTGAATGGGGCACCCCACGCCCAGCCCTGAGGTCGGCAGAGCCCCTGCCCAGACTGAGAGCCAGCACCAGCATTTCCTTTACCCTCTTGTGCCACTGCCATCCTCTTTCCCAAAGGCCACTTTACAGGGTCACCAGCAACGGGACGGAGAGAAACAGAGAAAAGACGCAGCATACAACAACTTCACGGTGACTACTTCCAGGTGAAGGAAATGCTCCCTGAACCCTCAGCCTTGAACTTCTCAGGGAGGCAACAGGACCTGCAGCATCTTAGGAACCAGGCAAGCATCCAGGCCTAACCTTGGGCCCAAGTGGGCCCCCTGAGAGCACCAGAAGGTCAGCAAATGGGCAACAGGTGAAGCAGGATTTCCCTTGGTTCTGAGAATGAACCACATACTTGACTATTCCAATGGAACGTAAAGGGACAGGAAAACAAACAAAAGTCAGAATTTTCTTTGAGAGTAAAGTAAGTAAAAAGAAATTACCACCCAGGGTATTTGTCTCCTTTCTTTTAAGGCACTTTGGAAAAGTCAGGATCTGGAGACTGGAAAGAGAAGTCTTCATTCTTTGCATTTCCCAAAACTCCCTCTCAGTGCGGTCATTCTTGGTTCCGCTGACATCGCTGTTCAGGAATGGGGAACTGACAGAAAGAATACTCTTTGCATAGCCCAGCTGCTTCTGCAGCGGAAAATAATTTTTAATCAATACAAAGGCTTCTGGAAAAGGAACCATGTGAGCATCCAAGATGCTCAAAGCGATAAAGGCACAGGTAAGACTGGGGCTGGGCACCAGCTCAGCCTCCACACTAAGGGCTGGTTCCCGGGAAGTCAGGGTGGGGCTCCAGGCTGCCACCAGCTGAAGCGTCAGCTCCGGGATTAGACAGCTGAATCTTTTGCCCTTAGCCCGGCCAGGCTGGACTCGGCGAGGGCGCCCAGTGGTAGGAACGCCCTTGTGCATCTCGTCCCAGAGAGGCTAAACCTCTCCCAGCAGAGATGGGTTTGGAGACGGCACCCCTGTGGATCAGCCTCCCTGGAGTGGGAGCACCTGCTAAAAACCTGAGGGGGATGGGAGGCTTTAGGCACCAGAGTGGCTGTGGGGGAGTGTGGGAGGGTTCAGCTCAACTTCTTTCTAGATCACTAATTAAAAGGCACATTCATGCTGGAGAATGAACAGTTTGTTTGACCCTGAGTGCGACAGGCAAGTTTTAGGGAACAGGCAAGAGGCAAAGGAACAAAAACGGGGAGGAAGGAAGGAGAAAGGCAAAAAAAAAAAAAAAAAGGAGGAAGGTGGGGGGAGGAGAACGGGTCCTGCAAGGTAGGCCAGACAGTGCGGCCAGCACAGCCAAGGAGGTGGCCCCCAGACTCCACAGGGGCCAGAACAGTGATTTCCTCCCCCTCCAGAGACTCATGGGGCCAGTAAACAACCTGATTGCTGTCATTTACAACTCCACAGCCTAGGGCCCCAAGGGGAGGTCCCAGGGTGGGTTGGAAGAGGGGTGGAGGTTCCCTCCCACCTGGGGAGGGGAGGGAGATGGGGAGCTTTGTCTAGCAGGCCTAGGCTTTTGCCTCCCCCAGAGGTCTAGCAGGATAACTCTGACCAGGGAGGCCTTACCCTCAAAGGGCCTAAAGGTGATTCTGCTCTTCACAAAACCTGGCCTGCTGACTAAATCAGAGGTCCATTCATGGCCAGTATAGCATACATTATTTTTTCCCCTAAAAAATGCTCAACCCCCTCCCCACATTTAAAACACCACAATAAAAATACATAAGAAATTCAAGTTTATATAGCATGCTCAGAAAAATAAATTGCCATGATTTAACACTAAATAGCTAGGCAAATCTGGATCAACACAAAATCAAGCTAGATCATAATTAGAACCCGGTTTGTTCTTTCTTTAAAATACTACAAAACTGCTTTTTTTAAAAAAAAGTCTTTACATTCAGAAATCAGACAATCTGGAGAAAGGCCACTGAATGTGAGAACACCCAAGGCTGCCTTGTCCTCAGTGTCACCAAGAACACTAAAGCTGCCTTGGAATTCACACATTAGCAGGGCAAGAGGTCCAAGGCTCAAGTTTTAAAATCCTTTTGCTACGAAGACACACGCACGCACACACAGCGATTGTAGCAGTTGCATACTGCTAAAAGAAGGCAGGGAAGGGGGAAAATGAGAATGGTTGAGATTGTGTTTTTCTGTTAAAATATGCAAACAAAAAACATCACACCAATCTGATTTCAGCAGCACTCTCCAATTTTTCATAAAGTAATAAGAATACCACAATTTAAAGCGAAATTCTTACCTATTTCACAACAACTTAGCAGTTTATCACTGGGAATGAGTCCCACAGTCACCAAATTTTGGGCTGTGTACTGATTCTTTGGGGTGACACTGTGAACATGCCGAGAATCCCCCAAAGGCTGATGGTTTCTACATTTACAAATACCTTGCAGAGCTAAGAAGTCACATGCCGAGCCAAGTTGGGGGCAAAATATCCCACTCGTCCTGGTCATCTGGAAAGGCATCTGAATGATGAATGAAGGGGGCCTATCACTCCGATTGTTAAGAATGAAAGGGACCAGCCCAGCAGATTGGCAGAGACACAGAGCAAAGGTCCCTGGCCATTTTCAGGTCTCTTATTAGTATACCAAAATGCTAGCTCGGTGTCCCGATGTCCACTGTGATTTTGGTATACAATGGGTTTCTCTCTATGTCCAACACCTTGTAAGTGAGTGTGTTCAAACCATCCGAGAGCATGGTCTCCTTTGTGTGTGCAATTCGGTCAAACCTACAAGGAAAAGACAGGCAAAGGGTTGGTGTCAAAACAGAAATCTTAAGAAAAAAGCATTAAACATTTGTCTTTCATCACATGCCCACCTACTCTACCAGTTCCGTGGACAGAACCCTCCCTCCCTCTCCCTCAAGGCATGGAGCCCTCTCCAGAGCCTCATTCCTGCGGCCTCCCCATCTGAAAGGAGAAAGAAGGAATGTAAATGAACACAGAACACACCTCTGAGGATTGGGCTCATTTTTCTTGTCTCTTGAGTGGCGGATCATCCGACACTTGCCAACCACAGCATTTGGGCGAGATACGGACATACCTCTAAAAACTAATCTGCAAGGAGTAAAAGGACAAGTCATCATTGTACAGCTGCCATAAGGCTTGGGTCCAAAAGCCCCAGCTGCAAGACTTGTGCGCCATCCACCATCTTGTTTATTGTTCTCACTCAACCCATACCCCGGCCACTGGGGTATTGGTTCAAACACACACTAAATCCCCAGGTCCTTTTACCACAGGTTCTGTAGTCTGTGTTGGTGACCGTTCTGGGCCAGGCACTGGGGGTGTCTGCCCTCACAGAACTTAAAGTGCACACTTAGAACACAGGACCATCAGTGTCAGGATGGAGGCAAGGAGGGGAGGTAGGGTTGAGCACTTGAGGAGAAGCCACTCACTTTCCCTGAGCAAGACTAGGCAGAGCCAGTTGTGAAGATGAAGGGGTGCCAGAGCATTTCAGGCACCCAGGGCAGCTGAGGCAAAGGCAGAGGGACAGAGCAAACACAGGGCCCTCAGGGAGCAACACAAACTTCTGGGGACTTGTGGACAGAGTCTGGAGTAGGAAGTGGTCAGAGATGAGGCTGGAAAGAAGGGTGAAGGCTACATGATGGAGGCCTTCCCAGAGCTTTATAGCATGCCAGCGATCAGTGCCGGTGTCTGAAAGGGACATAATTTCCAGTTCCCCAAAGGTTTTTGGCCAAAGGGAAGTCTCTCTGATAAGCACCATAAGGATGGAGAGCAGAGAACAAGGCGAGAGGCAGCCAGACCAGGATGGAAGATTTTGTGTAGGTCTGGGGGAAAGGAATGAGGGCCAAAGCCAAAGCCTTGACAGCAGCAGTTCAAGATAGTTAAGAGGCAGGCCTGGCTGGTCCTGGATGACTTAAAGGTTTCTTCTGGCCTCGGCTCCCCCGGTGCTGATCTCGTGCCTGGCACAGTTGCAAAAGACACAGGTCCTTTGTCTTTCAAGAAAGCTGCTCCACAAATCACTCTGCCTTCTAGTCCCTCCACCCTCAGGGTTCCCTCCCCACTAACCCTCTACACCGCTCAGATCTGTGGCATCGTATCGGCCCTGAACGCCATCCCATGGGCCCCATGTTTGCCCAGGTGGTGCTGTGGAAGCAAATCTGTCTGGACCCCCTACCCGGGGCTTCAGCGGCCTCCCCACCCGGCCTGCAGGACCCAGTGCTCTGTATGCTAAAGGTGCTTGATCATCAATCTGCATGCGCTCCAACTCCGGTTTCTCCCAGGCCGATAGTAAAGACTTGAGTCTATGACAGGTTCTCGCACCAAGCTAAATGTGACTGCCTTGGGTGCTGCTCTGACACACACCTTCTGGGAATGGATCAAATAATGTACTCCAATTCAGGAACGTGCTAGGGTTTATTCTGATATCAAGCTCAGTGACAAGCTCAGACCAGCTCCCGGAGGGAGAAGGCACTTCTTATCCATGGGCGGCAGGGTTGAAGTCTCCATGGCCAGGGAGAACTGGGCAGAATGTGGTTTCAAATGCCATTAGAATTTTTTTTTACCCTCTGCAATGACAACCCCCATGATAAAGGCTTACCAGCTTATAAGGAGCCCCTGGGGTGTGGGTGGGGCGGGGCTGGCAGTGGAGAGATGGTTGCTGGGGGAGGGGGGAGCTGTTCACAGAAGTTCATTATACTACTCAGTCCTCTTTGGTGTATGTTAAAAATGTTCCAGAATAAACAAATAACAGAGAGATTCTGTAAAGGAACTTAGGATCCCGCCCAAAGAAACTTATTTCATAATCAAACAGGACCACAATGAAATGCTGAATTTTTGCAAAGGACACATGTTTACTTCTTCAAGACAAAACAGCATGTGGTATAAATCAAAGTAAACTCAACCCTTCACTTGGTTCTCATTTTGCATGTTCCAAGGCTAATGCAAAAATCACAGAAGCTAATCTTCCTAAAGACATTCTTCAGCACCTATGGTACCTACTGCGGGGCACACTTAAGTATGTGGGCCAAGGGGTGCGTGGGTGGCTCAGTCGGTTAAGCATCTGGCTTCGGCTCAGGTCAGGATCCCAGGGTCCTGGGATTGAGTCCCTCATCAGCCTCCTTGCTCAGGGGGGAGCCTGCTTCTCCCTCTGCCTGCCACTCCCCCTGCTTGTGCTCGCTCTCTCTGATAAATAAATAAAATCTTAAAAAAAAAAAGAATGTGGGCCAAGTGGGGACTGTATCCCACCCGAGGAGCAATCCTTGCAGAATAACCAGGTGCTGATAGAAAAACTGGGAGTAAAAGGAGACAGAGAAGAAAGAGATCTAAGTTGTGACCATTACCTGTTAAAAATGTCATCATCTTCACCTCCCCAGCCCCAGTAGTTATTGGGAAATCCATTGATGGTGAGAAATTGTTGTTTACTTAGAGCAGAGACACCTCCAAAATACTGAACGTAAGGTAGGCTGGGGGAGAAACACATACACAAAGACCAGTGGTTAGGTAAGTCTTGACTTTTCAAAATAAAGCATGCTCAAAGCATAAACACTTCTAGTGTTATATTTAAGTCTCTGGAACTTCTTAATTGGGGATTTATGAGGGTTTTCTTTGTTCTGTTTTTCTATCAGACTCAGATGATCTTAGAGAAGACACAGATATCAAAAAGTAGAATCTTGCTCTAAGAATACTGTGTTGCTTCTGTGGTTACCTGGAAAATTAGTCAGTGACAAAAGCATAAGCCCACTTCTTGTGCCCCGTTCAGGAATCTGCTTTTCCATGTGTCCTGCTCCTGCATGGGAAATCTTTATCCAGGAGGTCCTGGAAACTGAGATTGGGGTAAAGCCTCCCTGTGCCCATCTGGTTATGCCCTCCCTTTCCACCCTCAGCCCATCTACCAGTCTAACTTTCATTCCTCACAGGCATACTGGTTTCAACACTGACCCCAACAGTCAAAATAGTATTTCTGAAAATCTGCTCAAATAACATTTTCTAGAAAATTTCTACCACATCCTGACTTAGCAAAATGTGTAAGGGTGAATCTATTTTGACACATTTTCAAGCAGTAGGGCATCTGGACTCTCATCTTTCCACACCTTTTGGTATTTTACTATTTCAACGGTGATGAAATGTTAAGATTCAGGTCACGTCCAGAAGCCTGGCAAAGGCTTTCCCATGGGGCCTTTAAAGGCTGTGGTTTTTGTGATGACCTTGCGTGAAGCACCAAACTACACTAGGGCTCTTACTGGAATCCAAAGCGACGAAAAATCCATCACACAGATTAAGGAAAACTCTAACTCAGACTTCAAGGGGGGAGTCAGCCAAACCATACAGAACATATGAAAAAAACAAAAAGTGCAATTATTATTTTCAAATACATTCAGAACATCTGACTGTGAGTATCCACTAGGATCCCCAGGGGCCTGCTTTACTGAGTCAAAGGTGATCTATCTGTAATTAGGTGTCATCACTTAGGTGCCCAGTCACCCACCGTTGGGCGTACCTCACACTACAGTCTGTGCCTGATTACAAGGGAGGGTTTGAAGCAGGTGGCCAAGCCAATAAGCTTTCTCCATCAGTGTTTATACAAAAAGGACTCTTGGTGACCTCACAGAAAGTACATGCCAAGATGGTGAGATCCAGTTTCGCCGTCCGTGCTGGTTTCTCTGACCAACCGCCTGTCCCCCAAGCCTGACTTGTTCTGGGTACAACAGGCCTGGTGCTGTGGCAAAGAAGGAAGACGTCACCACCACGCTTCAAGGGGGGGGGGGGATGCAGAGGGGGCAGGGTTTGAGCCTGTGTATCTCAAAGAGAAGAAGATACACAAACAGGGAGGTAGGGAGGGAAGATAGGAGGGTGCAGGGTGATGTTTACAGCCCAATTCTCCCCTCCTTAAGACAGCAATTTAGGCGCTGGTCTGGGGGAAGGACTTCACAGCATCCCTATTTTCTTTTCTTTTCTTTTTAATTAAGTAGGCTCCGTGGCCAACGTAGGGCTTAAACTCACGGCCCCGACATCCAGAGGCACATGCTCTACCAACTGAGCCAGCCAGGTGCCCCTTAGCATCCCTGTTTTCATCTCCCAGCCCTCGTTCCCACGGCAAGGGAGGATAGAAAGAAATTATGGGAATAAAATGAGTCTGAAAGACAGCATCTGTATCGAAACCAAGGGACTGCTGGTCAGCACAGGCCTCCACACTGGAGTAGTCAGGCTAAGCCAGGGATGCCTAGCACACAGCTTCCTGGAACTTCAGGCTGACTTAAAGCAGTGAGGGAAGGGTCAGTTTACTCAACTAATAGGTGATTTAAAACAATTTTATGTTAATATAAACATGGATAATTATGGAACAAAATGCAGATTTATTTTTTTAAGATTAAAAAAAAAAGGACTACAAGGCTATTTTCCACCTACAACAATATGCTTTGGATTATACTGCTGCCCTTGGGGACAGGCATCAGTTGGCCTCCTCAATAGGGGCATTTTAATGGAAAAGTCTGGGTCCCAATGTCCAGACAGAAGCCTGTGCTTTGCAGGGAAACAGTATCATGTTCTTTCTTAATTAAGTTCCAAGGTACATCTGCTAAGGTATCCAACCCCAAGAATTTACTGGGGGGAAATGATTCCAATTTGCTTCCCAAACTGGGTGGGGCGGAGGGGATAGAAGAAAGCAAGGAAATACAGCATCTGTTTGGAGCCTCCAGGCTAGAGCCATCCCAAACACAAACACTCGTCTTGCCTGGATGTGCAGGGATATGAGTGTTTCTGAATTTCACATTCCTCCTCAAACCGTGACTGACTCTGGTCTTAAACAGCACCCTATTCTCAGGGGAAGGATTCTCCTCTGGAACCTAAAGAGATACTCCTGGGCTGGCGGAGCTGCATTTCCTAGTTGTCAGGTTTTCCATAGCTTCTGGTGGATATCTCTTACCTAAATCCAAACTTATCCATGGCCACAGAGATGTGCCGTGGCTGTGAGAAACACCTGTAGGCGTTGTGGTCGTTCATTGGAATGAGGTCCACATCGCTAAACACAAAGCAGTTGTAGTCATAGTCCTTCAAGGCCTCTTGAAAGCCAATGTTGAGGAGCTTAGCACGGTTGAACATGGTTTCTCCAGCCTGGGGCAGAAACAGAAGAAGTGCTATCAGATATCGTGAGGCCACTGAACAGAACACTCACACGGACTGGTCACCTGCCAACTATATGTGATCCTTAGTCCACTCATTTTTTCTGCTCTCACTTTACAAATCAAATGGCATGCCCTGCGTCAGCACTCCCTCTTCTAGGAATTGAATTATTAATGTAGGACTTGCAAATACGCAAAAATGAACTTGCTCACCATGGGATTTTTATCACAGCAAAAGATTGCAAACAATGCCATAAGCATTGCTAAGGAACTGGTTAAATAATCTATGTAACATCCACATAATGGGATAGAGTTGTTAAAAAAATAAGAAAGCTCTTAAAGGAAATGATTTTCAAGATAGTATTGTTAGGTGAAAAAACATTTAAACACATGTGTCATATATTTAATATACTTTATATAGACTAACTCCCATAAAGATAGCCAGGAAACTGGTACCTATGGACTTTCCACTTCTTCCGTCTTTGTATGGTTGATTATGGGTCTGACTATTGTGTGCCTTCGCAGGTGTCTGTCATTAAACTAGGTACCAGAGGGGGCACCTGGGTGGCTCAGTCGTTAGGCGTCTGCCTTCGGCTCAGGTCATGACCCCAGGGTCCTGGGATCGAGCCCCACATCGGGCTCCCTGCTCTGCAGGAAGCCTGCTTCTCCCTCTCCCACTCCCCCTGCTTGTGTTCCCTCTCTCGCTGTCTATATCTGTCAAATAAATAAATAAAATCTTTAAAACAAACAAACAAACAAAAAAAAACCTAGGTACCAGAGAAATATGGTGAACCCGTCAGCCTCTGCTCTCATTGTGTTCACAACCTAGGGTAGGAAGCTGTGTGATACACGCTATGATAGAAACAGAGTGTATGAGAGAGAAGAGGACACCTGCTTCAGGATGCCAACCACTGGGTCCCGAAGCACCAAGTCTGTTGGTGCAAAGGTACTTCATATTTTATTTACTTATTTTCAGCTCCCCCCACTAGAATATAAACTCAGTGAAAGCTGGAATTTCTAACTTTTTATTCACCCAGTGCCTAGAACACTGCCTGGCATACTATAAGAGCTCAATAAATAACTGCTGGATGGATGGATGGATAGATGGATGGATGGATGGATGGATGGATAGATGGATGAGTAGACCAAGGGATGGGTTTCAACAAACAATGGCAGATGACAATTCTGGGAAGCTTCAACCAAAGGGCTCCCTCAGGGTTACCACCAAGAGTCTCTGCTCTTAACCACAGCCCCAGGTTAGTAAGGACAGTGACAGCATCAACACGGCCACCCTTACATCTAGCAGTCCACAAGCCCTTCCATTCGCGTACTCTCACCCCAGCCAGAATCCCCCCATGAAGAAACTAAGGTACAAAGTGACACAGCCCGTGCTGGACCCAACACTGCAGTCCTCACCTAGTGCTCTCTCCCAGTATCTCTTGGGGTCAACAAGATCAGGGCCTTCAACTTTGGTGGGAAGTTTATCTCACAGGGGCCTGCAGTGGCTATACAATCTCAAAGGTGGGGTCCCCAACATCCTTTCTCTAGGCCCCCAAGCGAGGCTTCGGAAGCTGTGCCCTACAGGCTGCCTGTGCGAGTACAGAGCACACGGGCAGTGCCACAGCCGCCCTCCGCTGGGTGACTCCGAGAAATGAGCCACTTAAGGAACACGAGCATCAGGAAGTCAGCCAAGAGAACAGTGAATGAATTAAGGAAACATTTTATACAAGAACTCCTTCCTTCAGCCCATGACAAAGCTTTCTAATCACACATGGTGAAAGGAGAAGGCTGAGCCCAATGGCACATACTGTGTCCTTTAGTTGTACCCACCGGTTAAGAGTCATTCAGAATCCTGCCTTCAGCTAATTCTCTGTAAGTCTTGAGGCGAAAAGAAGTTTAAAGTTTAGAAACTAGATATGAAAACTATAAAGGTGTTGTAATTACTATTATTACAACACACCGCTAAAGTTCATTGGGAGATATGACATGCAAGGTATAGGATAAGTGTTTTACATGCTTTTAAACATCTCAACAGTCTTGTAACAACCTTCATCCCAACCCAGACTTACTTCACTCTTCCCAGACCCTTTCCCCTTCTGGCAGTTCGGAGAGAGATCTGCACCTGGTACTTTCCATCTTGCTCCTCTAGCCCCATGAAGACCCTAAGAGTTAGCTTTCTCTGAATATTTTCAAACACAATGCAGCCCCACTGATCACTTTTCCAACAAGTCAAAGGGTGTTCCAACAAAGCCTTTTCACACCCAGGTAGTAGACTCCTGAGGGTGGCCACGCAATGCTCCCTTCTCTTGGTACATTCTCTAATAACAGGGGCAGGGAGCTCTTGATGGCCATGCCCGAACCACAGGGGCTGGCCTGCTAGCCATGACTGTCTGAACTAAGCAGATGTCTGACTGAGACTATACTAAGCATTTTTCCTCTCCCAGGAACTGCCAGTTTGGAACCATGAATGGGCACCTCTGGCACCACACCCCAAGAACAATGGTAGCCTACAGGAGAAACCCAAGGAGCAGATCTATCCTACCCTTTTCCCTACTTGTGGCATAACAGTTCCTTCAACTCAATAAGGCACTTCAGTGTCTGGTCCACAGTTAAAATTAGTCAGCCAGTTTTCTAAAATAGCCTGAACTGTATATCACTCCTCTCATCCTGGCTTCACCTCTGTGATTCTGGGGGGGGAGGTGGGAGGAAGGCGGGGTACATTCTTTCAGGTGTAATTTCCTACCAGGGCCCTTAGGAACATCAGAGCAGCAGAATGGTAGATAAGGAAAGTATGTGTCTTCCCCTTCCTCCCCTGGGATTATAGAGAAGTCAACTCTAGGCTTCTTTGGGTGAAATGGTGTAACACCTTGGGTAACTTTCTTGATAAGAAAGACAGGCCCTAGCAAGCCTTTCAAACCCCACCACTAACAGGAGGTGGGAAGACACCCAGCCTTCATTCCTGCCTCTTCTCAATGGGCACATGCATCCAGTGTGTCTGCTACTTCCTTCCCTCAGGTAAATATTTATCAAGCACCACTACCGTCCAGCCAACGCCAAATACAGAGCTGTGACGGACACATTCTTTTTTTTTTTTTTTTTTGACACATGCATTTTTATCCCAGGAATGCCTACTTCTTGGCTTCCTTGTGACTTTGGGTAAATCACACCTCTAGGTCTCCATTTCCTCATCTGGTTATTTGGATGCCAACAGGTGAGTTTTATTAGATGAGACAATGCACGAACAGACCTTTCCACACTGCCTGGCAACAAATGTCAGCTACTATCATTATTATAGGAGTAGGTCTTCCCATCCATCTTGAACAGACCTTTCAAATTGTCTCCCAGAAATCCAACATGGAGACTTCCCCTTCTCTAGTGTTTGTGTGTGTCCTTCCCAATCAGCTTCAAGAAACTTCCCAAATCCTGCTTCTCTGACAGGCCGGGGGGGGGGGGAAGGGGGGGTGTCCAAAAAGGATTAGGGCTCAAGTGAGTTAGCCTGTGGCTCACAAAATGAGAATCTCTATAGCAACAAGAGAAAGTCTGAGACCTTTAGAGGTATGATATGCTCGGGAAGTCACACATGAAGAGGAACTGGTGCTCTGAGAGCAGGGGTCCCTCTGAAAGGCCGAGTTTTTTAGTACAGGTTTCGTGTTACTTTGGTAGATAAGAGTTATACATATCCATTCCTTCAAGGGCAACTGGCTCCTCTTAAGAGAAGGAGAGGACAGAAGAAAGAAGAAAGGACAAAAATGGTATGACATTCCCACAGCTGGACAGAGAAGCTGTCTCACTGATCAAAGCTCACAGAAAAACCTATAAACCTTTTATGACTGGGCCTGTACTTAAAATGGGTGTAACAGTCAGTCAAGCAAAGCTAACAATACCAGAAGGGAGAGGACAAGCTCCTCGGGGAGCAGAAAGGAGGAAGAGGCTGCCTTCAGACACCTCAAACAACAAACCCAGGGCCTTTCTGGCAGATCTACATGGCAGGGACAGATGTCCTAAGAAGCATCAGAAGCAACTTGCTCTCTTTTAAGACTGTTAACACCTTTCTCTAGAGCCCTCATTTATACTAAGGAGAGCAAGTGGTATGTCCACTGAAAACGGAACCCTCATACACTGATGGTGGGAATGTGAAATGGTGCAGCCATCTTAGAAAACAGTCTGGCAGCTCCTCAGACTGGATGGATAAACAAAGAGTTACCACATGATCCAGCGATTCCACTCCTAGGTATATACCCAAGAGAAATGAAAACTTATGTCCACACAAAAACTTGTCCACAACATTCATAACAGCATTATTCAAAATAGATGAAAAGTAGAAACAAACCAAATGTCTGTCAACTAATGAATGGATGAATATAATGTAGTATATCCCTACAACGCAATGTTATTCAGCAATAAAAAAGAATGAATACTGAGACATGCTATCACATGGATGAACCTTGAAAACATCATATTAAGTTAAAGAAGCCAGTCAAAAAGGACCACAGATTGCAAGATTTTGTTTATATGAAATGTCCAGAACAGGCAAATCTATAGAGACAGAAAGTAGATTAGTGGTTGCCTAGGCCAGGGGAAATGAAGGGATGTAGAAGCTAAGAAATACCGGGTTTATTTTTGGTGCAATGAAAACATTCTAAAATTGATTACGGTGATGGATGCACAACTCCTAAATATACCAAAAGCCACTGGATTATGTACTTTAAATAGGTGAATCGTATGGTATATAATTATATCTCAATAAAGTGATTATCAGAAAGAAAAAAAAAGTTAGGAAAAAGGAGAAAGGCTAGCTCCAGAGGCAGAAGAGGACCAAGGATCATATTTCTCCCTCTATCTCATATATTCATTCTTGTCATTTATTAGCTGTAGGGATACAGAAAAGGAAAAGACACAGGCCCAGCTTTTGAGTAGTTCTGAGTTAAACAGGCAATTATAATGGGCTGATGTGGAGATGAAGACACTGATCAAATCCTAGGGGATTGGAAA